GGGGGCGAGGGAGAAGATGAGTGGAATTGATGAGTCGGGCCGTCGTCCGTGCCTCCCCTCTATACGTCAGAGTGGGTCCTACGCCGCGCCGGGTAAGGGGCGCGCCCGGTCCTCGACGGAGCCGCGCGCCCCAAACGACCCAGGCGGCGAGTAGTCGTCCTCGAACCTTCGACATGTAGTTGCCCATAGTTATCGCGCACCGGATTTTTTTAGACTGCACTCCGGCCGGCGCGACCGCCCAGTCCTCCACGATGAGCAAGGCCCCCAATGGCGCGCTCCCCGAATTCGCTATGCTGATCGACGGCACGCTCACTAAAAGCGAGGAGAAGTTTGGTGTCATCAATCCGTCCAGCGGCGAGGTGTTTGCGCACGCTCCGCACGCGACGCAGGCCCAGGTTGACGAGGCCGTCGCGGCCGCCAAGAAGGCCTTCCGTTCGTGGCAAGCGGTCCCGCTATCCGAGCGGAAGCTGGCGATGGCGAAGGTGAAGGAGGCCTACGACCAGCACCGCGACGAGCTGGCCGACCTTCTCGTTCGCGAGCAGGGCAAGCCGCTCGCGAGTGCAAAGGGGGAGGTTGCGGGGGCGGCGGGGCTGATGAAGAAGGCGATCGAGCTGACCGTGCCTCCCGAGGTCTACTCTGACACCGCCACGCGCCGGATCGAGGTGGTGCGCAAGCCGATCGGCGTCGTCGCGGCCATCACGCCGTGGAACTTTCCGATTTTCTGCTCGGTCGCCAAATTCGCGCCCGCGATCGTGCTCGGCAACACCGTCGTCTGGAAGCCGTCTCCCTTCACGCCGCTCACCGCGCTGCGTATGGGCGAGATCCTGCAGTCGGCTCTGCCGCCCGGCGTGCTCAACGTCGTGACTGGAGACGACAAGCAGCGCTTCAACGTCGGCGCACACCTGACCAGCCACGCCGGCGTGAGCAAGGTCTCTTTCACAGGGTCCGTCCCCACCGGCAAGAAGATCATGAGCGCGTGCTCGTCGGACGTCAAGCGTGTCACCCTCGAGATGGGCGGCAACGACGCGGCGATCGTGCGCAAGGACGTCGACGTCAAGGCGATGGCGCCCAAGGTCTTCAGCGGCGCCTTCAACAACTCTGGCCAGATCTGCTGCGCGGTGAAGCGCTGCTTCGTGCACGAGGACATCTTCGACGAGTTCAAGGAGGAGCTCGTGCGGTGCGCCGAGAAGGCAACGTTCGGGGACGGCTTCGAGGTTGGCGTCGAGTACGGCCCTCTCAACAACAAGATGCAGCTGGACAAGGTGAGCGCGCTGGTGGAGGACGCAAGGGCGCAGGGCTGCGAGGTGCTGTGCGGCGGAGGCAGGCGCGAGGGGTCGCGGGGCTTCTTCTACGAGCCCACCATCGTCTCCAACATCAAGGAGGGCGTCCGGCTCTTTGACGAGGCACAGATGAGACAGACATCCGACAGTCACACGCTGAGACGAGATGGGATTTAGGAACATGCACATGCACATGCACATGCACATGCACATGCACATGCACATGGACATGGACATGGACATGGACATGGCACATGGCACATGGCACATGGCACATGGCACATGGCACATGGCACATGGCACATGGCACATGGCACATGGCACATGGCACATGGCACATGGCACATGGCACATGGCACATGGCACATGGCACATGGCACATGGCACATGGCACATGGCACATGGCACATGGCACATGGCACATGGCACATGGCACATGGCACATGGCACATGGCACATGGCACATGGCACATGGCACATGGCACATGGCACATGGCACATGGCACATGGCACATGGCACATGGCACATGGCACATGGCACATGGCACATGGCACATGGCACATGGCACATGGCACATGGCACATGGCACATGGCACATGGCACATGGCACATGGCACATGGCACATGGCACATGGCACATGGCACATGGCACATGGCACATGGCACATGGCACATGGCACATGGCACATGGCACATGGCACATGGCACATGGCACATGGCACATGGCACATGGCACATGGCACATGGCACATGGCACATGGCACATGGCACATGGCACATGGCACATGGCACATGGCACATGGCACATGGCACATGGCACATGGCACATGGCACATGGCACATGGCACATGGCACATGGCACATGGCACATGGCACATGGCACATGGCACATGGCACATGGCACATGGCACATGGCACATGGCACATGGCACATGGCACATGGCACATGGCACATGGCACATGGCACATGCACATGGCACATGGCACATGGCACATGGCACATGGCACATGGCACATGGCACATGGCACATGGCACATGGCACATGGCACATGGCACATGGCACATGGCACATGGCACATGGCACATGGCACATGGCACATGGCACATGGCACATGGCACATGGCACATGGCACATGGCACATGGCACATGGCACATGGCACATGGCACATGGCACATGGCACATGGCACATGGCACATGGCACATGGCACATGGCACATGGCACATGGCACATGGCACATGGCACATGGCACATGGCACATGGCACATGGCACATGGCACATGGCACATGGCACATGGCACATGGCACATGGCACATGGCACATGGCACATGGCACATGGCACATGGCACATGGCACATGGCACATGGCACATGGACATGGACATGGACATGGACATGGACATGGCATGCACGTGCACATGCACATGCTGCATGCACATGCACATGCACATGCTACATGTTGTGTCCCCGCCCTGCACGATCTTGGCGTGAGGGACCTTCAATCCGCCCCCCTCACCACCCCTCGTCGCTGCCCGACACAGGAGCAGTTTGGGCCGGTGATGCCAATCACGCCGTACAAGTGACGATCACGAGCCGCCTTTTCGGTCGGACAGGTCCACGACACGTCCACGACATGTCCGAGGCACGTCCAATAGGTCCGACGAGGAGGCCGTCGCGCGTGCAAACGACTCGGAGTATGGGCTCGGCGGCTCGGTGTGGACCAGCGACTTTGCGACTGGCAACGCGCTCGCCTCCAAGCTGCTCGCCGGCACGGTCTGGGTCAACCAGCACACCGACCTGACCGAGGCGCCCTTTGGCGGCTTCAAGCAGTCCGGGCTCGGCCGCGAGTTTGGCAGCTTCAACGTGGCGTCCTTTACGGAGGTGCAGACCCTCTCGCTCGCCAAGCAGGACGTGTAGCGGGCCGGAGGGGCTGCGAGAGGGAGAGGCGAGCAGGGCACTCTGGCGCCAGGCCAAGACCACGCTGGAGCGGCCGTGAAGTTCGGCACCGAAAAGAGCGCGGAAGCTCAGCGTACTCATTAGCAAATGCCAAATCCGCCTCACTCTCACGCTGTCCGAGTCAGGCCGTCCTTCCGCCCTTCCACTTATTTAATACAGAAGTGTGGGTCTTGCCCCCTGGGTGCTGCTGCTGGGGGCTCGTTGTGCGAGTATTATGGGCCACGATGTCTCAAATAACAAATATGAGGGGTTTTGACTCCTACCAGCTCCTGACGCTATCCCTGGCAGCTCTAATGGCCAGGATCAGTAGTGTTGTGATAGAGGGTGCCCATACTAGCGCAGGAGCTGCCACACTCGCCCGGACCGTCCCCTTCTGGGGCCGGTTCCGCAGCCCGCGAGAGCCGACCGCGGGGCTGTGCCGCGGGTGCCTACTGCCGAGTGCCACAAACACTGCGCCGTCCCGCCATCACCTACAGGCTGTCTTGTGTGATGGTTGGGATGTCCAAACGCCACCATCTTGGCTCTTGCGACCTCAAACCCGCGAGCTGTATGGGTGGTCCTGACGTCGACAGACGCCCGATGATCACGGTGAAGCTGAGCCGGAACGCGTCGACACGTCTCGTCTGAGCCCGTGGCGGTCGCCGGCTGAGTCGCCGTACACGGGCCGGTACCTCAGGCGTCACCTCCGCAGCCTCAGGTCTCACACTCCATCACCTCCGACGGGACGCCTTCGATGGCACGCTCGGCGGCGACTTTGTTGCAGCCCCACAGCGAGCGCGGCGTCGAGCCTACTCACTCCAGTTGGATACACGCACTCCCTGGGACCCAGGGAGTGCGTGTATCCAGCTCGCGGTGCGTCCCGGCAGCCCGCGCTGGCTGCGGAGCTGCCACAAACTCGAGACAGGCTTTTTGGGACATTTTCGACGCTTTTGGCCCATACTCGCACAACATGCCTGGGTCCCAATACGTCCCCCCTGAGAGAGACTCAACTCTGTTTGTTAAATGAACTCGGGGGCACAGGACGCGGTACAAACGCGGTACACCAAAAGGCACGGGCTGCCTGCACGGCGTTCACTCGAACGCCATGCACATGGCGCGGAGCAGCATCGGGTTGGTGTCGAACCCGAGCGGGTCCTCCTCCCAGTCCCGGTGCCCACCCTCCGCGTCATCCTGCTCATCGTGCGCGTCGAGCACCCTGACGAGGCACAGGATCGTCCCCTTGGGAACGCCTGCCCCTCGCGCGCGCGGGAACTCTCCCTGCACCGCCATCACGAACTTCTCGCGTGCAGGTTGGCGTGGGCCTCGCAGGCGGCGCCGAGGTCGCCGTGCAGCTTCTGTCAGAGCACCTGCGGCGCAACCCGGGCCACGCCGTCGCCTCGGACGACAAGAAGAACGGCTTCAACTCCATCTCACGAGAGGCCATCTTTGCTGGCCTGCGCCGCTGGTACCCCGAGCTCATCCCCACGGTGGCGCTGTGGTACAAGGTCCCCCGCCGTCTCTTCCTCTTCAACGAGGAGGCGCGGGACGGCGACGGCAATGTCTTCATGTCGGCCGAGGGATGCGCGCAGGGGGACCCGCTCGGACCGTTCCTCTTCGCCATCGGCTACCACTGGACGCTCCTCGAGATGCAAGTGCGCAACCCGTCCGCCCTCATTTTAGCCTACCTTGATGACACCTACGTCGCGGACGCGCCGAGGCCCGCGCTCGAGGCGATGCTCGAAGGCGACGCCCTTGCTCAGAAGTGGAGCAGGGTGGAGAGCAACGTCAGCAAGCGTCAGATCTGGGCTCCCGACCCCGCGTCGCTCGAGGCGGTGCGCGACTACCCGAGCGTGAGGGGCACGCCGGCGGCGCCTCCCGACGGCAAGTACGCGGGCGGCACCCTGCGAGGCATCCGCGTGCTCGGGGCGTACCTCGGCGATGACGAATGGCGGAAGAAGGAGCTCGTGGCGAGAGTCGAGAGGGCGCTCAAGCCGCTAGAGGGCATCCTCAAGCTGCGCGACACGAAGGAGATCCACACGGCGCAGCAGGTGATGCAGGTCCTGCTGCGCTTCTGCAGCAACACGACGCTCACCTTCTTCCTTCGCGCCATGCCGCCGTCGGTCACCCTCCCGGCAGCGGAGAGGCACGACGAGCTGATTGACACGGCGCTATACAAGCTCGTCGGCGGGGCGCGGGTCGGCGCCGCCGGCACACGCTGGGAGCGCGCGCGCAAGCAGGCGCGCCTGCCCGTCAAGATGGGCGGCATGGGCCTCACCAGCGCCGTCGACATTCGCGAGCCGGCGTGGATTGGCACGTGGGCGCTCGTCGCTGGGCCCATGCGCCAGCTGCATGCTCCTTTCCGCGACCTTGACGTGAGCAAGGCGCCGGGCTCCGATTTCGACGAGCTGCGGGCGGCGCATGACAGGCTCAAGAAGGAGCACGGCGAGATCACGGCGACGTGGAAGGAGTGGGACGACAAGACGGAGGCGGAGTACTTTGACCTGGTCGGTGGCACGACGGGCAGGCCCCCGGAAGTCGAGGTGGAGCCGTGGGACGAGCCCGACGAGGGCGAGAAGCTGCGCGCCTCCGCGCGGCCGCCGGAGCCGGCTACGAGGGTGGCGCTCTCGCGCTTCCGTCCGCATACTCTCGTCCAGGCCAAGGAGCTGCTGCCCCTCGCCGAGTTCACGTCCAAGCACGAGTTCCTACACCAGGCGCAGCGGCGCTTCACGACGGTGGTCCACAACAGGAACTGGCGCGACCTCGCCCTCGAGCTAAGGCAGGAGGGCTCCAAGGGATCGCGGTCCGCTCCTCGCGGCAAGAAGGGCAAGGCGCAGGCCAAGGGCAGGGAGCGGGCGAGGCATGCGGCTTGGCGGGAGGCAGTCCGCTTCGTGGCGGTGAGCCAGGATGGCGCCGGCGCCTTCCTCAACGCCATCCCAATGCGGGATGACATGCGAATGGAGACTTGGGCGATGCGTCTTTCGGTGCAGCGCCGCCTGGGTCTCCCCCTCGACGTGGCCTGCCAGGCCGCGGCGGCGGGCAAGAAGACTCGGAATGGGAAGACCCACGACGAGTATGGCGACGCTGCTGTCAACGTACCGCAGCAGGGCCACAACACCAGACACAAGTACACGCTTCGACGCCTCATCCTCGCCCTACGCGCCGCGTGGGGCACCGCTGTGCGAATGGAGCCGAAAGCCCACCTCGGTCAGAGTTACAACAAACAACCCGACGTGGACGCGGACAACATTGGCTCGCACGGCACGCACTATTGCGGAGACGTCAAGGTCGTCTGTTCCCTCAGCAGCAGCGGGGAGCACGGTCGGAAGGGCGCTTTTGTCGCTTTCGGCAACACTGAATCATTCTACCGGAACATGGTCATGGGGCATGGGCCCTACTGCGAGGAGGGAGAGGGAGGTGGGGGGCAGGGAGAGGGGGGGGGAGAGGAGGAGGGGGGGGGGAGGGGGAGGGGTACGGGGGGGGCGGCATGGAGGGGGAGAGGAAGAGCAAGGGCGAGAGAGGGCAAGGGACTGGGCGCTGGCATACCAGGGGGGGCAGGGTGGTGGGCGGCGACCGCCGCATACCGTCCTACGGCGGGGACTATCGCTACGCCAGGGAAGACAAGGGCGTCGAAGTGCAGCTGCTGCTGTTCGAATCGTTCGGCGGGTTCGGAAAGGGGGTCCGTGAGATCCTCCGGAGAGCGGCGGACGTGCTACAGAACAAGCTGACGCGGGCCCAGTACCTCGATGAGGTGACTTGGACCACCAAGAGCTGGCTGGGGCTGCAGAAGCAGCGCATCTCAGTCGTTCTTCACACGGCCATCGCAGAGCAGGTCGTGAATGAGCTTGCCTGTGGCGGGGGTGGGCGGGTGCACGGAGCTAAGTGCCTCGCCACCCTCGCAGGAGTCGCTTAGGCGGCTCCCGTGGTGTACCTGTGTTCGTGCCAGTGCGCGCCAGTCCCGTGCCCAGTGTTGTGCGAGGGAGTTTTGTTGTAAGATTCTTTTCCTCGGTGTGCCGGTGATAGTACTAGCACGCGCCAGTTCGCACCTGTGTCGAGCCTGTCTGCTGTGAGAGAGAGTTGTTTTGTTTAAATTCTTTTCCTCGCGATGTCCACCCCGCCGCGCCGCCGCTCGCGCCGCCTCGCCGCCGGCGCCACCGCCGCGGCCTCGCCAAGTACGCCGCCACCCACCCACCTCCTCGACCTCCCCACGGAGCTCCTCTCGCGCGCCCTCTCCCGCTGCGACAGCCCCGCCGACATCGCTCGCGTCGCGGCCGTCTCGCTGCTCTTCCACGCCTCGCTGGCGCTGGAGGGCATCCGCTTGTGGGCGCAAGAGCGCGGCTTCGAGCTGCCGGCGCAGCCAGAGGACGAGGGCTGCGCCGTGCGGTGGCTGTGCTTCGCTGCGCTGCTGCGCGAGTCCAACCCGCCGGCGAGGGCGGCGGGAGGCCGTCTGCACAGCGTCTTCATCGACGGCGAGGGGCGGCTCTTGTCATGCGGGACGGCTGAGAGCTGGACGCCAGGACTGCTCGGGCACGGTGAGGGCGTGACGCAGCTCAACACGCCGACACGCCTCCCTTCCCCGCTGGGCGGCGAGCGTGCCGTGAGCGTGTCGGCGGGAGCTGCGCATAGCCTCGCCCTCGCCACCGACGGCAGCGTCTGGAGCTGGGGCTTGGGAGCTTGTGGCCAGCTGGGCCACAGCGACGAGCAGGACCACCTGCTGCCGAATAAGATCGATGCCTTCTCGTGCCAGAGCGTCGTCGCCGTGTCGGCTGGCTTCGGTCACAGCCTCGCCCGCATCGCCGACGGCAGCGTCTGGAGCTGGGGCTATGGAGCCTATGGCCAGTTGGGCCACGGCGACGAGCAGAACCAGCTGCTGCCCAAGAAGATCGAGGCCTTAGCTGACCAGCGCACCGTCGCTGTCGAGCCTGGATACTTCCACAGCCTCGCCCTCACCGCCGACGGCGCCCTCTGGAGCTGGGGCGGTGGAGCCTGTGGCCGGTTAGGCCACGGCGACGAGCAGAACCAGCTGCTGCCCAAGAAGATCGAGGCCTTGACTGGCCAGCGCGTCGTCGCGGTGTCGGGTGGAGAGTACCATAGCCTCGCCGTCACCGCCGACGGCTCCGTCTGGAGCTGGGGCAATGGAGCCTTCGGCCGGTTGGGCCACGGCGACTATCAGAACCAGTTGCTGCCCAAGCTGATCGAGGCCTTTGCTAGGCAGCGCGTCGTCGCTGTGTCGGCTGGCTTGGGTCACAGCCTCGCCCTCACCGCCGACGGCGCTGTCTGGAGCTGGGGCTATGGAGGCGAAGGCCAGCTGGGCCACGGCGATGAGCAGAGGCAGCAGCTGCCGAAGAAGGTCGAAGCCTTTGCGGGCCGGCGCACCGTCACTGTGTCGGCTGGAGGCCACCACAGCCTCGCCCGCACCGCCGATGGCGCCGTCCTTACCTGGGGCGTGGGCGAAGGCGGCTTCTTAGGCCACGGAGAGGACTTGTCCAACCAGCTGCTGCCCAAGAAGATCGAGGCGTGGGTGCAGGGGCAGTGAGAAATTTGCGCAGTTGGACAAGGAGGGGATTCGGCTTCTCGCGGCGCTCTCAACGAGGAGAGGTTTCGGTTCGGCGTCACGGCGGGGCCGAGCCCGAGTTTCGGCGGCGGTACCCAGAGTCGCCGGTGCTGCCGGCGACGTACGCGGTTGTCGGTAGGGAGTACGCGGGTGTGTGAAATTACGCACGCGTGCAGGCAGTGTATTGAGTATAGGAGCATTTTGCTTTTTGATGCTGTGGGGAGAGAGAGAGTACTTGACGTGGGGAGAGAGCACCCATTCTTGTTGCATCCTCGACCGCACAGTCCTACTCGATCGCTGTCTCAGCGTGTTGAAGCTCTTGAGCCCTCGAGTGGTCAGAACTAAATAAGGGTGTTTTTTTCGTATAACGTAATAATATCAGCTGATGCGGAGCCTCGCGATTCCGGATTCGGAGGACACCGACCCTTTTCGTAATTCGTTCGACAGGCAGGCGGCCCCCGCCGTAACTCAGAAAAGAACGTAGTACTGGGGGGGGGGGGGGGGCATGACTCAAGCACTGAGTGCATGACGCGCGCGCGCGGCCGCGGCCAGTGGCACGTCGCCGGCAGGCAGAAGTGCACGCGGAAACACGTCACGGAATGTATCTGAACAATGAGAGGCCCTGCTGTTCGAAATATTGGCGGCCAACTAAGTCCTGAATGCGGCGTAGAATGGCGGGATCGGCCACGATTGGAAAGCCAAGCCGATTGCATTCATCTCGCACGTGCTGCTGCATTTCGGCAAGGCTTGTGTAGGGCACATCCACGCCAGCGGTGATTGCGTGCTTCTGCTTCAGGAAGCGCACGAGAGCAGCGTCCAGAAAATGCTGGCCCGAGCGGTCCAGAAAATACAATCGGCGTTCCTCGTGAAGCTGGATGCAATGTGTGCAGCGGCAGGAAGGGCGATGTTTGTACCAGATAGCATACTCGACCAGCGTTTGCGACTCCTTGTACACGATGTACTCAGGGTGCTCCACGCAGCCGCCGCCCGTTGTCGTGAGCGCAATGACTGACGAGAGCGCGCCGCGGCCGTCGGGCCGCTCGGGCGGGCGAAGAGAGCGCCGCATGGGCTCTGGGCAAAGGTAGGCCTCGCCGAGGCACGCGCGTACAACAAGAATGCAGCGCTCACCTGCGGCATTTGGCTTCGTGTAGATGTCACTCTTGGACGAATTGGTGGCAAGGTAGATCCCAGAGCCAAATAATTTGCCGAAGTGTTCGCCAGCGTAGCGCGGGTCAAGACCCTGCATGAGCAGGCGCGACTCGACGAGATCTGAAGGCGCGCCGTGGTACATGAGGAATTCGTTCATGGACAGCCCATCGAAACTGCTCACCTCGAGCGCGTCGACTGTCAGGCTCGTGACGGCACGTTGGCAAAGACCGGCTATGTCCTGGACCTCGGCAAGGTACTTCTCCTGCAGCCGGGGGGCTTTCACGCGGAGGATGCGAAGGACGTCAAATTGCGGTGGGTCACGATGCGGGTCGCCCGGCTCAGGGCCACGGTGGCTCGCCGTCGTACGTTGAAACTCACGGGCCAGGTGCTCGTAAATTGGGTCATCACTGGCTAGCTGTTCGGTTCCCGTTTGCGAGTATCGGGAATAATGGGGCAGCCTGCTCATGCTGGAGCGCACGCACTCGCGCAGTTTCGAAGATGTCTCGTCGTGGAGCTGCTGTTGTCCCTGATCGCCTGAAGCTCGTCGCTTGGCGGCCATGTCAAAGGCCCCGCCCAACACCACGTTGCCTGCGATCGCGCCTGGCCCTGCCCTGCCCGCCCGCCAACGAGGCTCTTCACATAAACGCACAACTCTTCACAGCCTTCTCGAGGTTCTCGAGGTGGATATCCTTTGGCCGCGTTGGGTAGCGAGGATTGGTGTAACCCCAGTGTAACCCGAGCCACGGAGGCGTGTTTTCTGGCGGCCGACCGTCAGTGCACGGAGTTGCCCCTTCTCCGACTGCCCCGGCTAGTTCACGGGTTTCGCGGGAGTGACCCCATGCGTCAAACCCGAGACCTAGCGCGGGTGGGTTGGAGGGGGCTCGCCCCGCTCCTCCCCATCGGGCCGCATGAGCGGCCGCGCCCGCAGATTCGTTTCTCGCGCCTGGGTCAGGCGCGCGCGGGGCATCCCCCGGGTCGCTCGACCAGCGATCCGAAGAGTGGCCGCTATGTCAAGGTACAAGGAAAGAGCGGGGCCCTCGGGGTGCGCCTCGTCCGGCCCCCTCCGAGGGGGGAAGGGAATGGCGGGGTCCCCTCGGGCGCCTCAGTTCGGCCCTCCCGAGGGGGGGGGGGGGGAGCAAGGGGGTGGGGGGATCGGGGCGGTGGGGAGGGTCTCGGATTTCGCGGGTCTAATAGTTGCCTTTCGGGCTCTCTGCGTGCTCTCGTGGGTCCCGACAGCGGGTGAATTGCGGCGAAGACTTGGGTTGGCGGTGGGCTGGCTGTGCGGCTGTGGGGCGGCTGGCACCAGAGCGCGAAGAACGAGGCCGTTTTGAGCGTCTCAAACACGCCATCGCTCTCCTTGGCCTCGGCCGCGTCGGCCATGAAGATTGCCGGCGCACGCGGCGCCAGCCGAGCGGCGGTCGGAAGCGCGACGGCGGCGCGCTGCGGTGCAACGCGCAGGTGGTGGCGCGGTGCCTCGTTCGCCGCTTATGATGTAGAGTTTGTTGTACTCCCTTAATGTAGGTAAACGAAAAAAGTAGCGGCCAATTCGTCCACGTACGGCCTAGTGAGTGGTTGGGGTGGCCTCAGGCATCCCCAAGGGAGCCTCTGCGGTGCCACATAAGCAGCTTAGTGATTGTCGAGACTTTAAAGGATTCGTTTGAAGATCTCGCAAACAAGGCAGACACTACTATGGTCACCAGTAAACGAAAATTCGACTTTGAGGGATAATATCTCAAAAGACTGGGTGAGAGCAAGCATTATTATTGCATATTAGGCCGCATAAGGTCAGACTTGACCCCACAAGCATCAAGAACCCGATGCTCCGGCTCGACTGTGCCGGCACACTGCCTCCTCGCGCACGCTGCTAGCAGGCCGTTGCGGCCCGTGGTGCACCAGAGAGAGAGGTCGACGCGTTGCCCCCGCTGGCGACCCCGCGCGGCTCAGGCCGGCCAGAAGGTGTGTGGTGACGGCACCGTGGCAGGAGTGCGGAGATGAGCTCGCCGAACGCGAGCAGCAGATGGCCAAAGTGTGCCAGCGCGAGAGCCTCGCGAGCGGGCGCAGAAGGAGCTCGCCGTGACACGATGCCGGGCGGTGGTGGTGCTCTGGCGACTGTGCACAGTGGGCAAAGTCAGGCTGCAACAGGGCAGCACGATGGTAGTGCCCTGCTGCAGCCTGGCCTGACATGCACAGGGCGAACAGAGACACTACTATCGTCTGGCGCTCGTCACCGAACCTGGGCGAACTTCGACCGCCGCCACAGCTGGCCACGAGCACGCAGCGACAAAATGCTGACTGTACGGAAGTTGAGGCTGGTCGAGAGGAAGAGGCTGCCGTGCGAGCCGGCAGCTGGCTGGCTCGGGCGGACTGACTCCGGCGTCTTTTCGGCTTCTTCTTTCATAGAGAGGCGTGTATCTTAAGAATTCTTTCATCGTATACGCTACTTTCGTTTACCCACATTAAGGGAGTAGAGATTTCACGTTGTAGAGCGCCTCTACATCGCTCTACAACGCACCCGCTTCGTCCCGCGGCGGATGTAGAGCTCTACAGCTCTACAGCGCTCTACAGCTCTACAGCTCTACAGCGCTCTACACTCTACATCCTCTACACCCTCCCTCAGTCCCCGCTCCCGTTCCCCTGTGTCCCTGATCGTCCTTACAAGATCCTGCTCGTGCAGGTGGGGACCCTGTCCTTCTCCCACCCCTCGTTTGGCGTGCCCGTTATTTATTTATTTATTTATTTATTGGATTGTCATCCCTCCCTTGGGTTGTCCGTTTTCTTTCTTTTTTCTGTTAGTGCCAGTGCGCGCCAGTCCCGTGCCCAGTGTTGTGCGAGGGAGTTTTGTTGTAAAATTCTTTTTTCCCTTGGATTGAGTCTTCTTTTCTTTCTTTCGGCTGCACGCCGTGTTTTCTTTCAGGGCACACTCTGGTGGTGCAGCGCACTCTGCGCAGCGCCACCGGCGGTGCGTCGGAGTGGCGGCCGCCACTCGCGTGGTGCGTTGCGGCCTCCGACCGCGGAGAGCCCCCGTCACCACCGGCGGCCGCCTCAACTCCCCGAGCGGGGCCGGCATACCACGGCACGCACGGCATTTCCTGCGCCAGCGCAGGGCCACAGCCCCTGGGCTAGCTGTTGGCGTATACCCACCTCAAGGCCGGCGCGCACGCGCCGGCGATGGACAACGCCACCGGCTCAAGGGCTCGCACTCTCCTCACCACCGCGCGCGCGTTGCAGCAGGAGTACCGCATGAACAAAGAAGAGGCGACGGGAGGAACCGGCGGAGGATGCAGTGACGTGACACACACACACACACACACACACACACACACACACACACACACACACACACACACACACACACACACACACACACACACACACACACACACACACACACACACACACACACACACACACACACACACACACACACACCGCTCACCCACGCGCACTGGGCCTTGCACTTTGAATGCCGTGGGGCTCCTGTCGTCAGACGTGGAGACGCGAGGGTTGCCCCCCCTTGCCCCACCACCTCGTGTGTGTGGAGAAGTTTACCTTACCTTACCTTACCTACCGCATGCCGCAGTGCGACACTTGCTTCTCCCGTCTCTGCGATCGGCCTCCCTTCATCGTGAACTCGGTGATCGTGTGGGCTAGGAGGACGCGGCCAGCACCGCGCCGGATCTCTTCTGAGAGCCGGCGCGGATCGCGGATGCGACTCAAGGCTCCGCCGGCGGATCTGTGGCCTGGCGCCTGCCAGACTGCGGGTCCAAACACCCCGGCGCTCGCGCGCGCCACCGCCCCCGGCGCGGGGTGGGATATCAGTTCGTGAGTTCTGTGTCCCCGTCCCTGTGCTCCACCTTCTTCTCCCGTGTCAGTCCCTGAGAACCCCACTATACAGCGCCACCTCGTGAGCTGTTCTGTGCTGTGTGTCCAGCAGTCCGGACCCGGTGCTACGGCCGGTGACAGTGTGCCTCGTGTCGGCTCCCGAGCCAATCGTGTGCAGCGTGTGTGTGCGTGTGGGCCCGTCCTCCATGCTTGGAGGTGTGTAAGACTGACTGACTGACTGACTTGTAGAGGTCATCTGCGGTCCGATCCGAGCTCGAAAACCAGAAACCGAGAGAGATTTTTCGAATACAAACAACATGTACCAGACAACTCTAACACTCACAGCGGAGGGCTGGCGAAAAATAAAGAACGCGCGCCATAATGGACGTGTGGCTGTCTGCGTGGCGAAAACTCGCTCTCGAGAGCCGCGAGAGGGCGGCGCTCTGCAGTGAGCGGTGCCGCCCGATGAGTGTGTAAAGACGTTCATTTGATCTCATAAAAGACACGGAGCGCGCCTCGCACGGAAATGGCATGAGGTGAAGCCCACAGCGACCGCGCTCAACAGCCTCTCTCACCGGCAGATTTCGCCCGCGCGGCAGACCGCACTTTCATCGGTTCGCGCGTTCTCGCCGGACGGACGTTCGCCGGCAGGCCGCGAGGGCATCTGCCGGCGCTCGTCTGCCAAAGTGGCGCCAGAGTGGAGAACTGGAGGCTGCATATTCAACTGGCCTAGGCGGCCATCGCGCGGTCTACCGTTCGGCGGCTGAAAAAGGGGTAGACGCGTCTACCGCGGTCTACCAAGTCTACCGGTAGACTGGGGTCGTAGGTTCATTACGGTCTACCGGTAGACTGCCGGTAGACTCGTCTACCAAATGGTGTACCGTCTACCCGGTCTACCGGTAGACGGTAGACGGGCCACCCCTCAGGGGTGGGGAGGACGGCACGCCGCCACCACACAGGGATTTAAGGAAGAAAACAAAGAAAGAACGTTGACAGCGCAAACGAGGGATGGGGGAGGAGGACGGGTCCCCACCTGCACGAGCAGGATTTTGGAAGGACGATCAGTTGGAAGGACGATCAGGGGCACAGGTGGGGCTCTCTTGCTCCTGACAAGGGACACGACAGGCTCGCAGCGCGGTGCACGGTGGGCTCCCAACTCCACTGGCGGTCTCATCTCAGTCTAGCGACCTGCCTCCAGCAGGGATTTAGAGATCTCTCTTCTTGGGATTTAAGGACACAAGGCATGCGAGAGAGGCGGCCAAATTCTCCCTGTCACGGCGCCTCTCTCGCAAACCCAGTAGTTAAAAACCAGAGTCGTGTGTCGCGCGCTTGTCCGCGCCAGTCCGCGCCCTTGTCGTGCCAGTGTGCTGTGAGAGAGCTTGTATTTGG